AATACGTTAATCCAGGAGTTATCTTCAGAGCCGTCATGATTGAACCCAGGGGTGTAGAAAAGGTCATTGAGTGTGAGAGTATAAAGAAGAGAGAAATGGGTCTAAGAGAGAGCTTTGATGACGGGGATGATGATTTAGCAAAGGAAACTTAGGAGCAGTTATCAAGGTAGAAAACCAAGAGAAAGTAGTATCCCAGAATGCAAAGCATGGTCAGCAGTGTCAAGTGCCACAGGTAAGTCAGGATGAGGACTAAGAAAAGATCACTGGTGACTTTGGAGAGAGCAGTTTCAAGTGAATGACAAGTCTGGAAGCCATCTCCCAGGGGTTAAGAAGAAAGAGAAAAGCAATGACAGTACCAGGTACAGGTGGCTTTCTTAAAGACTTCAGCTGAAGAAAAGGGCAAAGAGATAGAATGATAGCTAATATGGATGGCCAGATCTAGTGAGGGCTTGTCTGTTTGTTTATGGATATAGATGTGTTAGCTGTATCAGAGCAGAGTGAGCTCAGCCCCAGGTTGACTGCCTGCAATTAAGACTTTTCCTTTGGCTCTGACTGAAGCTGCCTACTTGTCCGGAACAAACTGTGAGTGAAATTTCATCCCCGTGGTTTGAAAATATAAAAGTTTTAACATATTCATCTGTCTTTATAGTCCCTTTCCTATCCACACTTTGGATTTGTGTCTGGTAGAATTGACTGTGACTGATTCTTAAAATTCATTGTATTTAGCATTCCATTTATGTCTTCCACGAGAGTAGTTGTGTAGCTATGTATTTGTTTATTTTCATTTTGGTAAGGCAATCGGGGTTGAGTAACTTGCCTAGGGTCATACAGCTAGTATCAAATGTCTGAGGTCGGATTTGAACTCAGGTCCTTCTGACTCCAAGGCCAGAGCTCTATCCACTGCGCCACCTAGCTGCCCCACGAGGGTAGTTGTGAATCATTGTAAATATTATAAATAACTGAGATATACTAATGTTTGTTTATGGATGGGGGAGACTTGGGTACGTTTGTATACAGCAGGGAAGGAACCAATAGGGAAAGATTAAAGATGAGAGAGAGGGGAAAATAGTGGGGACAATCTACTAGGGGAAATTGGAGGGGATGGCAGCAAGTCTACATGTAAGAAGAAGGACCACCTTTTCATCAGAATCAGGAGTAAAGGAGAAAATAGCAGGGAATGATGTCAAAGTTTTGTGAATTGAGAAGGGGAGAAAAGGGAGCTCATAGTGAATGGCCTTGATTTTCTCTATGAAGAAAGAGGCAAAGTCCTAAACCTGGAGGGTGGGGGAAGGGAGTGCTACTGGGTACTTAAGGCAAGAGAAAAGAAGGTCTTGAGCAGCCACTGTAGTCAGTGGGATAGAGAATCAATTAGGGAGGAGTAGAAGGATTTCCATGTTGTAGTGAGGGCTCAGATGAGATTAAGTAACATAAATTTGTGGTGAACCCAGTCTGAATGATTTGTGTGATTTCCTCCAGCTCCATCCAGCAGAATGTTCATAGGAGCAGAGGAGGAAGAGGGTGGGCTTAATCCAAGGTTGGGGCCTTGCAGGGCAAAGCCTTGAGCAGCATTAGGGCATGGTTGTTTTTTTTTTCTTTTTTTTTTTTTGTGGGGCAAGTGGGGTTAAGTGACTTGCCCAGAGTCACATAGCTAGTGAGTGTTATGTGTCTGAGGTCAGATTTGAACTCAGGTCCTCCTGACTCCAGGGCCAGTGTTCTAAGCATAGCACCACCTAGCTACCTCAGGGTATGGTTTTTGAGAGGAGAATAAAACTGGTTTCCTAAGGGTTCAAGATCAGAAAGGAGGGCCAGTAGAACCTGAATGGGGTGGGGGTGGGGTGGTCTGGAAAAGAATGTATGTGTGGAAGAACTGGAGGTCACAGTGAGGATGAAGAATAGGTTTGGAAAGAGTAAGGCATAAAGATGGAATGATAGATTATAGTCAGATAAAGAAAGTTGAGTCCTCCAAGTAGGATCAATGTGGGTGATCAATGGTGTTACCACCTTTTTGTGTAACTCAGGTGGAGTGGAGGAATAGGTCACAGCTGTTAGTAGATAAGGCATAGGGAAGTGATTGTTTCTGAGGGAACACCATCAGTTATGTGGAAGTCTCCTAGTAAGAGGGCAGGAGTTGAAATTGACAGGAAGACTGAGCCAGGCACTGAATGTGTTGAGAAAGGAGGAAGACCGTCCTGGGAATCAGCAGAAACAGTCACCAGCATCTGAACTGGGTGATATATTTGGATATAGTGAAATCAGAGGAGGAGCTACTAATTAATGTTAGTAGAGAGAGAATCTGGAGGTGGCAATGGGAAGCAAGAAGTATTCCTGCTCCCTTTCTAGGACCAGCAAACTGGGGGATGCGGCAGTATGAGAAAACCCGGCAACTAGTACTGGAAAGGATGTCATCAGATGCAATGTCAACTGGAGTGAATAAAGTCTTGGTGACTTCCAGAAGCTAGGAGGACCATGAGAAGAAAAGATGAAAAATAAAGAGAAATTTGATTATAGATAAGGAGAACTCCAGAGGGCACAGCAAAAGCACGGAGTTGGATTGGGACACGGTGAGGGTAGAAATAAGGTGGATAAGTGTGACAATTAGGCACCAGGGATGAGCAACAGGCAAGATCTCTTATCTAGACACATCTCTCCCCAACTTCTGAAGAGAAGAGAGGAAAAGATGAGAGCTTTCATTCAATAAACATTTATTAAGTGCCTACTGTGTGTCAGGCACTGTGCTAAGCACTGGAGATACAAAAAGTAGTTGAAGGTTAGAGTCCAGAGAGTAAGTCTGGGAAATTTGTACCAATTGATGCTGGGTGAAATGAGGAGAACCAAAAGAATAAAATAAACAATGACTACGACAATGTAAATGAAAAGATCACTAAGAATGGAAGGAAGGAAGGAGGAAGCTAAATTCTGAGCACTTGAAAAGCCGGAAAGGTCCCGAAGAACAAATAATGAAGCATCCATACCTTCTCCTCCGTAGAGAGGCAGAGGACTATTAAGGAAGAATATTGTCAAATATGGTTACTGTAGAGTGTTTTCATTTGACTATTTTTCTTTCCTATTGGTGGTGGGGATGATTCACTTTTGGGGTGTGGGGTGTGGAGGAAGATTGTTTCCAGAAGTCACTGTGATGTAAAAAGAAATAAAAACTTATTAAAGACCCCCCAAAAAGTGAGTCTTGGGAGGCATTAGTATGGTCTATGAAGGGAGGAGGCTCTGTTTCTATATAATGCAATAAAAAGTGTTTGTAGTCTGTGGTCTCAATGTTTAAGGGCCACGAGGATGGACTTGATCATATTGTGGGGGTTGCTTCACCAAGTGTCCTGCTGGTGGGGACATTGTCATTTGTTGAAAGACAAGGACTTGTCTGGGAGATGCACACATATAGAACTAATATAGGCACACAACAACATTAATATGCACACAGAAATGTTTGCAGATAGGTACAAATACAGAGAAACCCACTAATTTGATGTTGACTCATTGGCATAGAGAATGGAGAGAAATGGAGACATGGAGAGCAAGACACATAAGGAGGAGAGGGAGGAATGGAGGGAGGGAGGGGAGGGGATGGGGGAGAGAGAGAGAGAGAGAGAGAGAGAGAGAGAGAGTCCAAAGACCACAAATGAATGAAAAGTAAAGTCAAAAAGTGGCTCCAATAACCACAAGGGAGGGACATGAGGATTTCCAAGAAGTCAGAAAGGATGACATGGAAAAGTTAAGATCGAGAATGACTAGAAAGAAATCTGAAAGAGAAAGACTGGGCAGGCTGCAGAGAATAACAAGGGGGAGAAGGTGGGGAAGGGAGGAGGCAGAGGAGGAGGCGGGGGCATTGATTGGATCAGATACAATGGGACTGCATTGGCTCTCACTGCCTGCCTGCCTCTCACATCCCTTAAGAGTAGAACATTGTTGTTGTTTTTCCATCCCTTTCCCCAAAGCCCAGGGCTTGAGATTGACTCAATTGCAGCTCCTCTCCATCCTGGATTTGAATAATTAAGTCATCTGGATTCTTATGATTTACCATTTCCAGTGATAAATAGACAGCAGCCGAGCAAGCCAGTTGGCAAAACTCAGGCTGGAAGTTATAATTTGTCAAGCTGCCAACAGATTCATGTTTTATGCTAATGGCTAGAGACTCATTGACTGGGGAGAGGCAGTGACCGGGTCAGCTCTGTCCTCGGGCACATCGGAGGTCAGGAGGTCGGGGGTGAAAGGCAGAGGCTGATATGGATTTTCTGTAAGGAGTGTTGTAATTTTATAATCATTCAGCTGGTCCTCACACAGAGATGCACAGAAGTATCTTGATCCACACACACAGTAGCACACACTCAGAAATATAGTCTCACACTCACACACACACCATCCCTAAATACTCTGACACAGGTACACACATACATCCTATTCAGAGGCACCTATTCACAAGATCTCAAACAAACCTGAACCCATCCCCTTCCTGTCACCTTGATATGCACTTACACAGGTGCAAGAAAATTTAAATAGATTACTCCCATACAGACACACCATTATCTTCCCGGCACTAACCACCCCCCCCCCCACACACACAAAGACACCCCCCACAAACATGAAGATAAATTAACAATTCTCCTTCATTCCAAGGTCTCTCTACCTTCTGTCTCAAATCTCCAAGTATGAGTCCAACCCTCTCACTTTGAGGTCTTTCATTTTTCCAGCTAATCCCAAATAACAGGGAAAAGGATGGGAATAGGTTCACATAGCCCAGTTCTCATTTAACCAGCCTAGAAAAATCTTTTCTATTTTCCAACCAATAGAATATGTTCAGGGCAAGGAAACCCAGCCTTGTTGGTAAGACAACAAAATTTTCTAATCCGGCACTACCAAAATTCAAACCAAACTTTAAGTCCCATCATTTTATTTTATTTTATCCACATCCACATTTATTTTATCCACATCACACTTGGACCTTCCTTCCCTCCCTCCTCCAAACCCATAAAAATACTTTTGATAGTCATTAAAAAAAAAACAACAGAGGTAGACATGATTTCTATATTTTGAAAATCCCTAGTCTTTCACTCTCGAATCTCTACCGGTTTGACCTAGGTGAGGAGGTTGAGAAATCTTTTTAAACATTGCTCTTCACCTCTCACCATGAGAAACCAGGGGTTTGGCCCAAATATGAAATGCCTATTTTAGACCAATTAGGAAATTATGGCTGCAATTTTGACTCCTAAGGTCCTTCAAAACAGATCAATGGCCAGGTTGGAATGCAAGGGCTTTTGTCCTTTTCCTTGTAGAGGATTTGAATTTGTTCCTGGCCCATATTCCAGAGTTAGGAGATCACCATTCCATTCTATTAGCAGCACCAAGGGGCAGGGATTCAGCTAGGGGTGGGGAATAAACACCACTGTATTCTGATCTCCAAAATCAAAGATGAAGTTGCCTGCTTTGTCTTGATTTGGGTTTGGAGTCACCCTCAGCAGGGAATTTTAAGGCAGGTTCCCAGATCTTCAAATAGGAATAGGGAGGGAACTCCTAACAGTATAGCATGGATACTGGGATGTTTGAGCTCTGGTTCAGACCTGTGGATAACCATCTTCCCTGCTACATATAATATTTCCCTGGGAATGGTTTTCAAAGCAGTGAATTGATTTGTCTGTCCATTTTCAAGAAAAAGGGTCCATGAAATGCATCTGAAATGTGGAAATAAGTCCACTGGCATGGCTGTCTGCCTTCAAGTCCCTGCTGAGCCCTAGATATAGTACAGTGTCCCAACTGTACTAGACATAGCACTCTGGGTACTACTGTGGATGAGCCATATGTGTAATAGCCTACATTGGCTAGGTTATGATGGAGAAGGATTTCCTGGGCTAAACTGAGGAGCAGAGATGAGATAAAAAGGTGACACAGAAGCAAGCGTAATGACAATGATTACAACAAACAGTCCTATTCACCCTGCTCGTGATTACCAGAGCTTTCAATTTCCAGTAGGCTCTCTCCAAATCCCAATATTTGCAGTCTGTGTAATTAATTGTTAATAGGCAGCGTCTGTTTCATCCTGCCCAGAGGCCACATAGAAAAGCCTCTTGGAACATGAAAATAAATAATGGGGCTCTAGTTTGGGGTTGGGTGATGAGGTTATTTATGAGTGAGTAAACAAGTTCTTTCTTAGAAAGCTTAGGCAGCTAGAGTAGCTGGAGTGGGGAGAGGAGGTTTCGGGGAGGGAGTGCTGGAGCCTGGACAGTTCTGGGAATGTAGAAGGTAAGCATGGGGATGGTCAGCACAAGAGAGGGCCCCTGATAAATCATGCATCATAATAAGCACTGGCATTTTCTGGCACTGGTTCACCATCCTAGTGTGGTCCCACAGGATCTAGGGTCTCACTACCCTGAAGACTCATGGTCCCAGTGGAAGTGATTAGCTTTGATGGTGGGACCCAGGCTGGGGGCTGTGATGGGCTGCTCAGGATCCTAGGACTTAGTTGGAAAGCAGTCACCCAGAGCCTAAATTGACTTAAGGAATCTAGGAAAAAGGTGGACAATTCACAGAAAATACATTCTGCAGGGAGATGACTGGATATCCAGTAAATAATATTGTATAATAGTGTATTGTAGAGTATTGTGTAGGTATTTATTATACATTTGGAGAGGCTGAATGGAAAGCCATGCTGCAAATAAGTGTGTGTTAAGTGGAATACAGATATATACCTAGATTAGAGATTTTCCTTTCCTCCATTAACTACAAGGTTCTCACTTCTATTCCCCATCCACACCCCTCGCCCTCACTGCACACACACCTTCTTGTATTCTTCAGGATTTTAAAAATAGTTCCACCTGAACCAGATACAAAACTATTGGATTCTATGGTATCAGAAACACCTTAATTTTGAAGGGTATGGTGTCAGGAGGCTGGGAGAATTATTTGTTTCAGGGGTATATGAATTTCAGCAACTTGGTAAGTCTATCCCTACCTCCCCAACCAGTCTTGGTCAGATTTTAAAAACACAAGCCAGGGCCATCCCGGTTTCCCAGCCCATTGAGGCTCAGAGAGCCCTACTCTGCACACACAAACATGCTACTTGTCTTAGCTACCCAAATCACCAGTAGGAGTGGGTAGGGGTGCTTAAGAGTGTCATCGAGTGGGAGTGAGGGGCACTGTGTTGGCTAAGTAAACCAGGGAAGGGGCATCGGAGGGAACCCAGTCCCCACCCAGCCCCTCCTTTTCCCTCTTCTTTTGCTTCATCCTCCGGTTCTGGAACCAGATCTTGACCTGAGTCTCGCTAAGCTGAAGTGCAGATGCCATTTCTGCTCGGCGAGCCCTGGGCAGATAATGCTGCAGGTGAAACTCCTTCTCCAGCTCAGTCAGTTGTTCGGTAGAGAAGCTGGTCCAGGGACTGCCCGTCGCTGCTGCTGCTGCTGCTGCCTCGGGCTCCCCAGAATTGCTGTCCCCTCCAGGCTTCGCTGGGCACAGAGGAGGAAAAGAGTCAACGCTTGAGATGACCCAGCCACAGGAGCCCCAGGGAGCAGGCAGCATACTGAATCCCAGTAACCACCAGCAACCCTTTCCCAATAAAATCAATTTTTCTTTTTCTTTCTCTCTCTCTCTCTCTCTCTCTCTCTCCCCCCTTCCTCTCCTTCTCCCCCCTCCTTTTTTGTCAGTTTCTCCTTCCTTCTCTTAATTCCTTTTTTCTTTCTTTTTCTGTCTTTCTGCCTTTTAAAATATGTTGTATTATATATTATGGATGCATTACATTTTCTGTATGTTTATTTTATAAGTAGCTTTTATATATTTTAAAATTATGTATTATATACAGTTACAGATATATGGGCAGAGGTTTTAACCTTCCTAATTTTCTTTCTCTTTTCAATTTTCCTGTCACACGCATTTTCTTCCCTCTCTTTTTCCCCATCTCTTAAGTCCCTTCCTGCTCCTCTCCTTCCGTTTTCTCCCTCTTTCTCTCAGTTTGGTCCACACCTCTATCCTTTCCTTCTAGCTACCTTTTCTCTTCTTATCTCCCCTTTTAGCTGTTTCTAAAATTTCCTTTCCCTGTCTTTCTTCGTTTTTTAGTCGCAGTATTTTTGATTCACTACTTCGAAGCCCTCTCATTTTTCGGTTCTCTGCCTTATTTCCTTCTCCTCACAAGGCCCTCCCCTCCCCAAGCTCTCCATCTTGCCCATCCATCCCGTGCCTAGGTTCTTAAAGTCTCAAAGAATCTTAGACTCATTGTCCTTGGGCTCCAGACTTTGCGCTTTACCCCCTGCAGGTTTAGGTCACTACTACCACCACCATAGAGCTTCTTAGAGGGAAAGGGAACTTGCCAAAGCCATCCAGCTTAAATCCCAGTAAAAATTGAGAGAGAAAACTTGGTGCTTCTAAGGGGCTTGGGGACTTGTTTGGGAAAAAAGGACCAAGTGCAAATAGATAGCTATAAGGAATGGCCAGAAGTGGGGGGCCAGGGGGCTGGCACGGAGGGGGAGTCTCAATGCCTTTCTCCAAACCTATTAGTCGATCCTGCCTCATCATTCATCCCTGAAGACAGCTGCCTCCTCTCCGAAGTCCACATTAGCCACGGGATTCAGGGAGGGGACTAATCATTCTACTACACAGTAATGGGGTCTTGGATCACGTGATCCACTGGGGCTGCATAGTGTGATGGATTTTTGACTTAATAAAAGAAGGTACAAAAGCACTCTATTTACATTTATTTGTTTCAATCTGAAGTCTAGAGCTAGTTTCATAAGAAAGCCCCTAAGTATTTGGGCCAGTTCTCATATCGGTGTTCTCAGGAGTCAATGGAAAAAAGAAATTTCCCCAAACCTGCGGGCCAGGGCCACAGCCTCATTAGCTGCCAATAGGTTCTCCTCCCCCGACTCTCCCTTCCGCCGTAGGGTGAATTGTTTTCTTTATCTATGGACAGGAAGAAGCCTCACTTTCAAAATGTTTTTTGTTATTAAGTATCCTTAGAAACAATAACAACTATCATAGTAACCGTTTATTTTGCTAGAGGCGAACTTTCACGTCCTCTCGGGGATGGGTAACAACCTCCTCCTTTAGCCCTGCTCAGGGTCTGAGTCCGAAAATGAACCGAAAACCAAAACAGAAAAACAAAGCGATAGAGGCCGGCTGGGTCTAATGGCCCTGGGATCGTCTCCAGGAATAAAGAGAGATCGGGGGCTTGTCTCCCCCTCCTCTCTTTCTCTTAGTGTCCTTTCCTTTTTTTTTCTTTTCTCTCTGCTCCTCTTTCTCTCCCTTCCTTCCCCTTTCTCATCCTCTTTCTTCTCTAAAATCTTTTTTCTTTTTTTTTAATCCACATGTCCTTCCATCTGTCTATCCATCTATCCACCCATCCGCTTTAGAATTTCAAAAGCCTTTTGAGACGTGAGTCCCCATGGGGAACTGGGCAAAAATTTCCCTTCCATTTGGGTGTGTATTGTCGATCTCTCCCCCTCCCCCTCAAATCCCAAACTAGGGGGCATCCCATTCAGCCGTCCCAGCCGTAAGCGGACTTCTTTTACGCCCCACGTAAAGTTCACTGAGTGTAGCTTCCGCGACACTGGAAAGAGGGCAAGGTGTTTAGCCAACCTCGAGCCCCAGACTCCAAACCTGCATGATTCGGGGTTCCTTTCGCACCCACCTTCAGCCTTAGAACTCTCCTGACCTTGGTTTCCCGATAGTATCAGACTTGCCTCCAATCTCATCAATTTTTTTTTTCCAAGAGAGAAACCTGAATCTGACTGATTCTCTAGGCAGGTTGTTTTTTTGTTTGTTTTTTTTTTCCCCTCACATATCTTGGAAGTTAAAAAGAGTAGGGAAAAAGAGTCAGGGGAGAGGTGTGGAAGGAGGGGGACAGGATCATTACCCCGAACTAAACTTAGAAATGTTGGTTCTTCCGATTACTCTATATTTATCTCAGAGGTGTTGGGGAATCAAGCACCCACCCAAACCGTCCCAACCCAGTTGATATTTAATAAATGGACAGAGTCCCCCTTTCGTACTGAAAGACCCAGCAGAGAAGGCCAGTGGGGACTGTGAAGCTTTCCTTAGGGAGGTCCAGGACAGTGAACTTTGTTTCAATTGGGGTGAGCCTAGAAACTCAGTCCCGGATTATTTACTATAGTTTAATCTTTCAATTCCCCCCCAAACCCTCCCCAACACACACAAACTCTGGCCCCCCAGTAGAGATCTCAATGGACCTTTAGGGATAGCCCCGGAGGCAACTCTTCTACTAAGGGAATATTTATCAATGAAAATTAGCAATCATTTAAAAAACTAACAGGCCAGAACCAACATAAAGTAATATCCTTAAGTGTCTGAAATAAAAATTGAGTAATAGCCGATAAAGTTTCCACTTCCTCCGCCCACTTTAAACTTTAAAACCAACGAATAAGCTCCAGTCTCTATTTCCCTTCAGAAAAGTTCCCCCAAGTTCCTGGCAGGATACCCGAGAGAACCAGTTTTCGTGTCCCCCTCTCAATTTGCCCCCCCCTTTCCCTTTCCCTCCAACAATTTTCTCATTTTCTCTTTTCTCAGTCTCTAGAATCATGCCTTCATTTTCCTGTCGTATACCATACCCTCCCACTTAAGACTAAAACTTCAAGGCTGTTACTTTCCCCCACGTAAAGCAGGCACATGCCGACCCTCCTCTCCACCAACCCAGCAGTCAATGCTCTGCTAACTGGACCATTTTTTGCACCCCGATATAAGAGTGGAAGTTGAGGAGTGGAAATGGTGTTTCAACGTGTGCCTCTCCTTGTAACACCCTACCAGTCCCCAGCTCACCTGCTCTGGACGTACTCCTCTTGGTTTTCATCCATTCAAAAGTTTGACAGTCTCCCCAAGGGTCCAAGGAATTTCGCTCACTTGGCCCCTGGTCGGTTTCCTTGCGGGCATAGCGGCCTAAGATATAGGGTGAATACAGCTCCACACCCCCGCCCAAGTAGGGAGGTGCAGCAAGGTATCCCGGAGAGGAGCAACCCAAGTCAGTAAGAAAGCGAGGCAGAGAGGTCTCTCGGGGATAGCTTGGAGTAGAAAGGGCGTTGTATAGGGTATGACGAACCGGGCCAGTGGGCCCAGGAGGGCTGGACTGAATGGAGTCTGAGTCCCTAGCGACGTCTCTCTGCCTCTCCAGTTTCGGCCCTCCAGGGTATGCCCTAGCCCCAAGCATTCCTTCTACCCCTTCTGGGGCGGCGCTCATAATCCAGACATGGCAAAAAGGGAGGGTGAGGGGGGTTAAGGGACCCCCTCCTCGCCTCCCCATCCCCCCAATCCCAGAAACACCGAACGCCCGCCCCCTTCCCTCCCAGGAGCCGGGGGACAGAGAATTGTAACAAGAAATTCGATCGATTGGTAAGGGGGATCACGTGATCCCGTCCTGACCAATGACCAAGCCGCCTGGGATGAGCTAATAATGGAAGCAATTTGTAACTTTCAGTAGCTTTCTCGGCCTGGGAGCTGGAGGGAGGGAGGGAGGGAGGTGGGCAAAGAGTGGGGTAGAGACTCTGTACCCCGCCCCCCATCCCCGTTTCTCCTCCCTACTCACGAAGTCCCTGGACACCTCGCTTCTTTAACCTGCTTTCTTACCCCCTTCCCCCCATCTATATTTTCCTTAGCCCACTCCCCTTCTCAAGATGCATCGGCTCCCGAGCAAGGTAAGCCATGTACCCCCTCCCCCCCCCGCCCCGTACCTCTCACTTTGGCTCTGGGGGCCCTCCCAAGACACCTGCAAACTACGCCATCCCCCATTAATATATTTCACTTCCAAGTTTCTAAGTTTCCTTTGGGTGTGGGGTAGGGGTAGAGAACATCTCCTTTGGCGGTCAGTTTCGCCCCCAGGCTGGGGATAATGTTTGTAAACATTTTAGTTGTTTCTATTTCATCTTTCCGTTTGAAGGTAACTTTCACTCTTCCGATAAATTTCATTTCACTCCTCTCTCGGAGGAATAGTTTATTTCTCATTGGAGGTGTTTTTTTTTCTTTTCAGATATCGGTTTCATTTTAGTTTTCTAAGTTTCCTTTCTTTAGAGATGTCAAGTTCATTCTTTTTTCTCCAATCTTTCCCGCCGATCTCTTCGGTCATTTGGAACAATAATATTTTGGGAAGTTTCCAAGTTCACTACTTTCTCCTCCTTCCCCCTCAACCCCAAGTTTCAAGCTTTGGCACGTGTCACCTCTTTTTGTCATCTGAGTGGGGAGAGACACTTTACCTTTTGTGTTTTGTTTTGGTGTGTTTTAATTTATCTCTTGGACAAGAAAGATCGCTTCTTTTGGGAGACGATTGGGGAATTGGTTAACTAAAATTGCCATCTTGTAGCTAATTTCAAGCCTTCTTAAAAGATGCTTGTGTTTTTCTCTCTTTTGTAAATTTCACCCCCCCTCAGCCACCATCAGTTTTTCTCTTTTATTTCGTTGTTTTTAATCCCTCTTTTCCTTAGTTTCATTTCTTTTACAAATCTGACTTCTGGGAAAAGAGATCACATCTTTGTGTTTCGAGTAATTTCGTGTTGGGGGAGGAGATTTATTTTAGTAAACATCTCTTCACTTCTCTTCCCCTTAACCTCTTTTCTGTCTTTCTCTATCTCCTCTCCTTTCTTGCAATCTTTGCCTAGACAGGAGCCCAGTGTGACCGGCTCCCATGTTCTTTTCCTCTGCTTCTTTCCAACATAATTTTACTCATCACTCTTCTCCCTCTCATCCCCAATCCTAACTGTGTGTGTGTGTGTGTGTGAGTGAGTGAGTGAGTGAGTGAGTGAGTGAGTGAGTGAGTGAGTGAGAGAGACAGAGACAAAGAGAGAAAGAGAAAAGACTCCCCCTTAGAAGGTAACATCTCACTTTTGACCAAACCCCAAGTCCTTCTTCCTTCCCCACCCCCCACCCCCAGCTGCCAGACTTTACAAGCCAGGACTGAAGTGAGATGTTCCTTTGGGCCAGTCCTAGCTGAGATCCACCCCAATGGATCTCTAGGTTCTAAGGACTTGGGCAACCTTATTTCAAAATGTCAGCTACTGTTGTGTTGCTTGTTTCTCTGTCCTGGTCTCCCTGTCACTGTCAGTAATATGTGTCTCCTACTTTGGTGATCAAAAGTAACTCTATTTATTTGGGACTTAACAATTTGCTTCTCTTACCCCTGAGGAAGGAGTGTGGAAGAGAAATTGACTTGCTACTCCAGGTTTGAACCAACAAAAGAATAGGGTTAGGAGTGGAACATTATGTTCTACCCCCCTCAAAACCTTGAGGTATTTCACTTTAAAACAAAACCCACTTCTTAAGAAGCAGTATTTCTGGTTATTGTGGTGGTTATGGTTAAGAAATATGATGCAAATTATATAAATATGGTATGTTAAAATGAACCCTAACCACAAAAATACAGTATCATTCATGCTAACCACAATAAAGTTTCAGAAGAAGACTTTGTACTAGCCGCTGGAGAGACTCTTACTCAAACCTTTCAAACTCTGTTCAAGTGAAACTAATTTTCCCCCTCTCTGCCCTCCACCCTCCTGTCTTTCACATTGACATTCTGGTCACATTTGGCCAGCTCCACGTTCTGCTGCTCTGAAATATGAATCTAAGTTACTATTAAAAGGGACTGCTCCAAGTTAATTGGCATTAAAAGAATTCATTTCAATTTGTTAATATTAAATGAACACACTGTACTTTAGTTCTCTTCTCCCATTCTTTCCTGATGAGCCATGAGGGAAAGGGGAAGAGGTTGGTTGGGGAAAGAATAGAGAACAGGATTTCTTTCTGACCCTCACGGCCAGACTCCATTAGCTCTGCTGAAGAACAAGGCTGGGGGTGGGGGTGGAGGAGAAGGTTAGGCTGAGGCTAGAGATGGGGGCCAAAGTAGAGGGCCCAACTAGTTGATTTTCCATCCTGGCCTTGAGAGCAAAAGATCAGATGATGAAGGGGCACTAAAAGGAAAGGTTTGGGGACTTGGTGGGGAGGGGGAGAGACTGTCTATCAGAAACTTAGGGAGAGAGGAGCAGGTTATAAGCAGAACTATGAGGACAGGTGCATGGTCTCTAATAGTACCAGGGGGAAGGACTGCAGCAGGGCTTAATTAGGACAGGTGCTGAGGGGTCCTTGGTTGTCCAGGTACAAAGGAAGAAATGAGACTGCAGGAAGCAGGGGAGACAAGAGGGGCAAGGGTTGTAGGGGATACTGTGGGGAGGAACAGAGCTCTGCTAAAGAAACGAGGGACTTGAAGAAGGATTAGAAAAGATGGGGGAAAAGACTGTATGAAGAAAATGGAAGGAGCTGGGATCCAATCCAGGGGAGGGGGAGGATGGGAACTAGAAAGTTTTTTTTTTCTACAGAGAATAGAAACCTGATGGTTCCCCCTTTCCCTTGAGTGCCAAATAGAAAGAAATAGACTGTCTGCAAGGGAAAAAGAGAGGGTTGTAGTTAAAATTAAGGAACAACTTCAAATCTGGGAGATTTAACCTGTTAAATTGGATGACTTAGGAAAATGGTGGCATCTTCTTACAAGCTATATTCCCATCTAGAGTAAAAAATGGGATTGACACTAGTGATCTCTGCAGGGCACTTGCAGGCTCGGGATTATAGCTTTTCATGAACTTTAGTGCCCTTATATTGATTTGGGGGACCTGTCCTAGAAGGGTGGCTCATTAGGGAGAAGGCATCTGGTTCTTGAGCTGTTAAGAAGGGTTTACCATCTGTTGACTTCCTATAGGAGAAGGCTGGGGGAGCTTTGGTTCATCTTTTGGGGGGGGCAGGGGGGGGGCGAGGGCTCCTCTGGCTCATCAACCCACAACTAGAGACAGATGAGAACAGGATCAGGCTGGTCAGTGGTCAGTGGGTGTGGCAGATTTTCATCCGCAAGAAGGGTTATGATCCACAAGATTTGTTGGAATGGAAAGAGTAGCACTTGAAGTGAGAAGAAATCTAAGTTCAAGTCTGTGTTCTGACATTTACTAAGTATGTGACCGGGGCAAGTCACTTAACCTTTCCCAGACTCAATATCCTTATCTGTAAAATGGGGATGATAGCACCCATCATACCAGTCTTCACAGGAATGTTGTGAGAATCAAATGAAATAATATCTTTAAACTGCTTTTCATGGACTCAAGTACTATTGCCAGCCATTACTGTGAGTGCTAAGGACCTCAGAGGGGGACAGAGATTAGAAGTTATATCAGGAAAGTTTGAGGTTAGACACAAGAAATAATGCCCTGGTTGCTGAAGGGATATAATGGTTGGTGGGTGACCCAAAGTGGGTTATGCTCTTTCTTACAGACAAAAAGAGACCTCTCCTGGTCTTTTCAGTAGGAAGCAGAGGCAAGAATGAAATGATCTCAGGCAGTTTGGGAATCCAAATAGTTACATAGGTGGGCCCACAGCCCTGACCAACGGACAGCACAGTTTTTGTTCTCAGAGTCGATTTTTCCAAAAAAGTTCCTTTTCCGGGACCAAAAGAAAAAGAGAAAAGTAGAAAACAGGGAGAAAGTGATCCTGTGGTCTGGGAGTGGGATGAATACATTGTTCCTTTCCTTTTTTTGTAAGGAAAGAAGCATTTATTAAGTGCCGACTATGTGCAAGACATTGTGCTAAGCACATTACAATTATTATCTCATTTTATCCTCCCAACAACTTTAGGAGGTAGATGTTAATATGTTCCTGTTCTAGTTTTGAGGCAACTGAAGCAGACAGGGGTTAAGTGACTTACCCAGGGTCAAGACAGTAAGTACCTAAGGCTCGATTTGAACTTTTTATTTATTTATTTATTTATTTAGGCAATTGGGATTAAGTGACTTGCCCAGGGTCACACAGCTAGGAAGTATCAAGTGTTTGGTCTGAGGCTCTGGATTTGAACTCAGGTCCTCCTAACTTCAGGGCCAGTGCTCTATCTACTGTGCCACCCAGCTGCCCCTCAATTTGAACTTTTGCTGTATGACTTTTAGAAAGTTGTTCCTTTCTTAGTCCTCTCAATAAAGGGCATCATCTTCCTTTCTCTTTTCATCCTGAGGAAGCCAGGGTTGGAAGGAACCAGCATCAATGAGGGTAATGTCATCCCTGATCATTGACCCATGGTGATCGGAATGTAATTTTCTTAATCAGTCAATCAAAGCATTTAGCAAATGCTACTATGTGCTAGGCACTGTGCTAAGCTTCCCTCTAGCATTCTTAATCTAGCACGTTTTTTCTTTGGTAGAGGTAGAATGACAATCCAGGAAACCCTGTCCTGGATGCTGGGCAGAGGGGGCCCAGAGGGACGGAGGAGTCGGGGTCATATGAGGAGCTCCCAGTTTAATACTGAACAGAACTATATCCTGAAATGCCAAAGAAACAGGAAGAGGCTGGAGGCATGGGTAGGGAGGGAGAGAGATGGAAGAGCTGTCAGGGAAAACTACCAGGAGGAAATCTGTGGCTCAAGGTTGTAGGGGGCAGGAGTTAGAAACCATGGGTTGTCATGGAGGGGAGGAAAGGGGAAAATCTCAGGTGAGTGGTGTGATCTGAGGGAAGTCTGAGAATGGGAAAGGCTGAAGTGAGGAAGTTTAAATAAGAAGCAGATTTTGCTGATCACTCAGTTTGACTTTTATTACTATTTCAAGTAATCCTAGACCCTCTGTCAATGGAGCCACACTCAGTGGGAAGATGAGGAGACTTGACTGTAGGAGATGTCAGGGAC